TTTAATTTCCTACGCTCATTTTTTTAAGACAGCGATTGTTTGTTATGTTTTTGTATTTTATATTCTAAAACTGGAGGGGAAGAGTCCGATCCATATTCAGTAGTGTCATCTGCATACAACCGTAGAGAGGTATTTGTAACCTAAAGGTTCCAGTCATTGATGTAAATGTTAAAAAGCAAAGGGCCCAGCAGGGACCTCTGAGGGATCCCAGCTTTGATAGGTTTCCAGTCAGAGTAAATTCCGTCAAATTAGACTCTCTGATAAGTTTTTCTTTAACAGTTTCTGTAGGCAAATTTATAAGTGCGTCGTTATAGCTTTTGAATGAGACGGGGTATCCTAGAAAAATAGCTTTAATGATACCGGATAGGTTTTTAATTTTATAATACTATATTAATTATTAGTTAACTTAGCTGGGCATAATTAGGTATCTTTTACTCCTAGATTAAGCTGAGGGATTTTACCATGTATAAATAAAGTTATATATCTATCAATCATTAACGTGCATATTTGGCAAAAAGTTCAACTGCATGGGATACCATGGTGACAGACTTCATGTGATCCATTGGAGATGAATTTTTTTATGTCTGACTTAATTAATTGTGAAGTTTAAGCCACAAAGTTTCACCAGGTAATGTGCTCTAGGTTCCACTTAATATGTTATACCATTAAAATTTTAATAGGAATGCGATTTGAAATAAATGTAAAGTGTAAGCATCTGACCAGGGACTGAGACTGGTCATTATTCATCGGGGGGTGGCAGAGGATTTTGGTTGTGTCATAATAAAATTTTCGTGCAATTTTTTACCCTGTAGACTCCGAATATCTTGTCCTTTTTGGCGGCTAATAACCATTTAACCCAATGAAGGGAAAACCCAACCCAACCTCCCCTCCCTCCCCCCCCGCTCCCTGTCCCCCAGTGCGCGCCATTTCCCCCTCTCAGCCCCTAACAGGATGCATATTCAAGAACATGAAAAATATAAAAGATTTCACCCTTTAACTCTTAAGATCTGATTGTTCACTTTTGTCTCTATCTGCAACACATTTCTTTGTAAATTAGTGACGAGAATTTGGAGTTAGATCAATATGACAATAACAATATAACAACCATTGTCCCTGATAACTTTGAGTATTCTCATTACCTGTTTACTGGATAACGTATTGATATTGTTGGGAGACTCAACATGTCAACCACTACTGGGAGTCACAGGGTTAAAGGCATCATTACAAAAAGAATCTAATAGGATTCTGAATTTTTTAAAGCCACTGCATTTTATCAGTGGTTACAAGAGATCTTAAGGAGATTTCCCCTTTTGATCTCCTGGATGGTTATATCAAAAGTTTCTTTGACGAACGAAACAAGTAAGCGGTAGTTGCAGAGAAAGACAAACATCAGTGAGATGACAGCGATATTACAAAGGAGAGAGATTAGTTTTGATGGTGGAGATAGATAATTTTTTTTCCTTCGACTTTTTTCTCTGTGAATACAGTTAAGAGAACCTCAGAGGATAAGCGGGTTTGATGGCATGTTACAAGTTTCATTTCTTGACAAGGTGACGTGACATCGTTGGGACCCCTCCTTTGCTTATTGGGCCAAAAAATTGACCCCTTCAAGAGCAATTCATATGCTTATAAAACGTTTAAAACGGTTCCTAGAATTATTTTTTATTTCAGATTACGATTGAGTGTTTTTTAGGAGGATAATCCCCACCTTCTCTAAGTCACTTCCACGGTGCGCATTCAAAAAAAAAAGAACGGTGTACTCAAACTGCTTTGACTATTATCTGAAAAATGAAGGAACTCCTTCAATCGGTGGGTAGTTAAAACAAATCTTTCCCGGATTATGTTACAGACGTTTTCTAAAGACATGGTCTGTAGCTTTCACCGCCCCTTGAGATCAGCTAACGGAAGTGCGTATCTTAAAAGTAATGCGACCCCTCTCAAATGAAAAGGTCGCCCAACATGATGTCCGCTTAGTTTAGCCAGCATTATAAAATCTCACGTCCACCTGGATATTTTCTTATCGATCGCTGTTCGAAATGGACCTCAGTGGTAATTTTCAAGTTCAAATCCTCACTTTTGGAGGGCTTCTATTTGTTTTATCTATTTTGACCGCGAGTACCGGAGGAAATGTGCTCATACTACCAGGTAAGGGAGTCATTTCTATGTAAACAGCGCAGCGTAATTTTTTTTTCTGAAGACAGACTGCAAAAGCCGGGAGTGCTTCTGGAAACTCGTGATGGTGTACGCTACATGCCGCGAGTCTAGAAACCCGTTAGCTACCTCGAACGAAATAGGTTCTTTTCGCAAAAACAATGTAATTCGCTTGCTTAAAGAAAATGAAAATGGCATCTGCGAAACAATATATCCCATTACAGACTGCAATGCTGAGGAATTTTCAAAGCTTCTTAGATTTAAGAGCCGAGACGTTAAAATCTAAGCTCATGTATAAACCAAGAGTGTGCAAAAAACCATACTTTTCATGCTGCGCTTATTCATAAAGCTTATGTATGAGGAGTTACCACCGGGAATACGGAAAATGTTATTCCTATTTCTTTTACCCCAAGAGAATTCCAATTGCTTATTGTAGTCTATAATTGGATGACAAAGAAATTGACCCGAAAGATCACGAGATATCAAAGCCAACAAAAATCGCAAAACTGCGACGTGGAACCGCAAACTGCTATTCTGTAAAACTCTCAAAAAATCAGGAGATTTCTCGTACAATCGACGGATCCTTGTGCATGTTGAGACTTGGAGCGAAATTATTCAAAATCAGCGCTAGAATTTATGAATCCTCAAAGGAAGGCCGCAAATAATCTCCAACAAAGCTGCAAAGTTTTTCTTTCACTCGACTCCGACAATTGATTTAATTTGGGCTTTCACTTCGCCATTCAATACTTGAAAAATTGGGCGTTTCTTTCCAAAATTTAAATGTTGTCAGCAGCCTAACCTCGGCTTCGTTTCGTTATCCACCTTCATGCCTTTTGATACTTGAATGACCGCGTGCAAGGAAAAGGAAGTTACAATCAATCTTTTACAATTGTTTCAAAAACAGGATACAGGACATTCTTTGACCTTTTGTTTATGTTGTTTTCCCTAGTACCCACCCCCCCTCAGAATGGCGGACCTGTGACTCAAGGTGAGAACCTAATCACTTGACGCAAACTAAGTCGGGTATCCCGTGTACTTAGCTAGTAAATTTGGTGGAACACAGGTCACCCATGCTCAGTACACGAGCACATCTGTACTAAAAAACTTCAACTCAACAGAATTTGAATAAAGAACACGATGTCCTTTTGAGACTAATGGGTATGTAGAGGTAACTAAGAATATTGCTCACCGCGCTTTGATCGGTGAAGTCGATCTAAAACAGATTTACCAAGCGAGGTCAACTTTTTTTGGCTATCTTCCGGGAATTTACTGATAAGCAATCGTTTTCCACACTCAAATCCATGTATTTCTGATGTTGCGTAATAACAATGTAGTACAGTTATACTCGCATATCGAGCTTAGGCTACCAGTGTTTGAAAAATCTTTAGCAACTGCACAAACTTAGCGAGTCGTACTTGCTTTTTAAGAGCCGGGTTTGTATAGAAATGTTGAATGGAAAGTAGAGCGCGCGCGAGTTTTCTAAGTAAAACTGAAAAAAAAACAGTGTCACCTTGATCTCTTTTGATGGTAAAGTTATTCAGCGAACAGAAAAGAGAAAAAAGTACAAGGGAAATTATAAATATGGCATAATGCATTTTCCTTTTTCTAGGTGACTTGAGACAAATTACTCCAGACAGCGATGAAGCTAAAATCAATGAAGGTATGACTACACAATCCAGGCCCATTCCTTTGTACCCCGTAAAATATGTTACAGCACTTCACTCTTTTAAGTAGTTTAAACGGCTTCATGGCTGCCTAATCAAGTTCAGGTACTACACTAATTTCATTGCCACGGGCGCTCTCTCCTCATGAAGTCATTTACATCACTAGGTAAAGGTCCGTTAATAATCACATAACAACATTCCTCGTATCAGGCCAGGATAGCAACAGAATATCGATCCTAAACTCCAGCGTAAAAAAAAAATGCAGGTCATCCGTGTACGTGATGGTTTGTAAGAGTTCCGCAAAGACCTTGGAAAGTTTCTGTTACAAGGTCAATCATTAATTTGATAGGACTCAGCTCACTAATTAAGTTGTTCCAAATCATTCCTGTCCCAAAACGCGTATTCTTGTCCTGCTTCGAATTTCACCACCGATTTCACGACATTTTATCAAAATTCAGACCACGAACGACTTCCGACTCTGAGACTCTGAGAGACTCTTAGGGCCTCCTACATGGAGGTGGGGGACCCCAGGTAGGTGAGGTAACCCGCCTAGACGTGGTCGAAAAATAAAACGCGTTTACATACAATCTTACAACCCCGGGGTGCTGAGGTGGGGTTTCTTGAGGTTATTGTTGCGCTTGCAGTTAAGGAGTTTGAGCAGAGGCTTCCCAAGCTCACATCTCGTGAAAGACGAGAGATTAATTCTCGCACACACATGTCTATTCATGAAAGCGTCACGCGTTGTGATACGTGGTGTTTGGTTTCGCGAGGTAAACCAAATATGGTCGATAAACAGCGCTAAATATTCCGAAATGTGTACATTTTATACTCCCTGTGTGTCCGTTGCGATTTCTGGTGATTTCTGCCATGAAACGGCTAAGAAATGTACAAATTTTTAAAACATTCATGTCTCGCTTTTGAGCTTTTTGACCCCGGCTAGGCAGGTTACCCCACTTTGAGACATTTACGTGGCAAATTGTCACCCCGGCTGACAGGGTTACCCTATACCTGCCAGACCAGGCAACCTGCCAAGGCGGGTAACCTCACCTTTCATGTAACGTGATCAAGATAAATAATGGTAATTGAACTGGGTGGAGTGCAATTTGGGCTGAAATCATACGCGTGATTTCAAAATCGAACGAGCGCGCAGTGCGAGTTTAATTTGAAATCACAAGTATGATTTCAGACCAAAATTGCACGACACGAGGTTCAATTACCACTTCAGTTCATCCATTTTGAAATCGCCCAAATACAGGATTTGGTCAGTCAAATATTTTATTGATGTAGTACTGAACTGGTTTGAAATTAAATTGATCCATTTTTAGGGGGGGAAGATAAGAGTTTTGGAAACAAAAGTTGCAAAATTTGCCACATGATTTCTCTTTCTTTCATTTTCCTGCAATTTGATTGGTTACTTTAAACAAGCCTTGAA